GCTGGGATTACAGACATGCACTGCCATGCCCGGCTAATTTTGTATTTTTAGTAGAGATGAGGTTTCTCCATGTTGGTCAGACTGGTCTGGAAGTCCCCATCTTAGGTGATCCACCCACCTCAGCCTCCCAAAGTGCTGGGATTACAGGCATGAGCCACCATGCCCGGCCCCATCTCCCTTTTTAAGAACAGATTTTGCATATTTTGGTGGACCCTCAGCCAGAGTCTCTTCAGACTTGGTTTCTTTGGGTTTATCTTCATTAACTTCACATTTTTCACTTGCAAACACTTATACCATCAGTACCCTCGAAACACTCAGTTTCAAAAAGATGGTTATAGGCTGTAACCAAATGGTCCTTGTTAGCTGTCTTGCCCACATTTAAAATGTTTCCAATAATATATATATTCTGTAAGAAATGAATCTGAATTGTGGTCCTTTAGAAACTTGATAACGTTCTCCTCGGGCAGCTGCTTACTGAACAGCTGCTCCAGGGTTCATGCCTGCAGTGGGACGGCCTCTGCCATCATCCCCCGCTGCCTGTGCCCCACTGAGCCAGCCCGCTGTGGTTCCCAAGATGTCTCGATTAGCATGTGTCAGGACACTGGCTGACGCAGTGAGCTGAGATCGCATCATTGCACTCCAGCCTGGCCAACAAGAGCGAAACTCCATCTCAGTTAATCAGTCAATCAAACAGGGAGATAAACAGCAGTGAACAATATTTCTCCTTTTTGGGAGATGGGAGACGTTGTTGACTGCTGGTATACAGGAACTCTACAAGATGGAACTGTTTTTGATACTAACACTCAAACAAGTTCAAAAAAGAAAAATGCTAAGCCTTTAAGTTTTAAGGTTGGAGTGGTCAAAGTTATCACAGGAGGGGATGAAGCACTCTTGACTGGGTAAAGGAGAAAAACCTCAACTGAAGAGTGAAGCGGAACAGGCTTACGGAAAGAAAGGGCAGCCTGCTGCCAAAACTCCACCGAATGCAAAGCTGTTTTCTGAAGTGGAATGAGTGGATCCTGATTGAAACAGCAGTGCTTCAGCTCTAAGGACATCAGCAACAACGATAAAACTTGGCCTTGAAGAAACTTATGTAACTAACTAGAGCTCGTTACTATTGGAAGGGAAGAGTCATCTGGACAGTTCAGAGTTAAAACTTGTTTAACCTGATTCCAACTTTTGAGAAACGTAATCCCTTATAAATCCCTGAAGTCTAAAATGTTTTACGCTACAACTATGTAAAATACTGGTCAAGGAGAACTTTTTCCTTTTACTTAATGCTGTAAACTAAATGGCTGAATAAAAGCATATCCACTGTTGCGGGGGTCGGGTGGGGGGAGATAATGGAAAGACATCTGTGAGAATTTAATGACTGTGTGAATACAAGCTGAGGTTAAAAAAAAAAAAAAGTGAATTCAAATGGAGTACTCAGTAAAAAACCTCCTGTAGGAGACATCTGCTGCCTTTGCCTGACCAGCATCCCTTTCCCCTCTATTAAAAATAGAAAGCTGTTTGAAGCCAGCCTGGCCAACATGGTGAAACCCCATCTCTACTAAAAATGCAAAAATTAGCCAGGTGTGGTGATACACATCTGTAATTCCAGTTACTCCGGAGGCTGAGGCATGAGAATCGCTTGATTTTGGGAGGTGGAGGTTGCAGTGAGACCACGTCACTGTACTCTAGCCTGGAGGACAGAGTGAGACTCCGTCTAAAAAAAAAAAAAAAAAAAAAAAAAAAAGAAAAGAAAAAGAAAGTAGTGGTTTGTGTAACTACCTCTGGCTCATTTCTTGTGGTCTGTAGGACTGTGAATCAAGGTGCTCACTTTCTACCCACAAGCTAAACTCTAGAAGGAATGTGAATTTTGACAGGAGGAACACAAGACTAAAAGTGATAGGAATTGATAAGTATAATGGCAATACCCTAGAAGAGACTGTTCAGTCATTAGTTGTATTCTTTAAAGTCCCTGAATTCTGTCCTGATGGACTTGCCTTTCTAGAGGTGCATGCTGAAATCTGCCTCAGTACCATAGGGAATTTGACATGTGTTTCATTTGCTATTAAATTAGTAGTAGTCTGAGGTGGGCGGATCATGAGGTCAGGAATTCGAGAACAGCCTCACCATTTTTAGCAGAGATGGTGAAACCCCGTTTCTACTAAAAGTATAAAAAATTAGCTGGGCATGGTGATGTGTGCCTGTAATCCCAGCTACTAGGAAGACTGAGGCAGGAGAATCGCTTGAACCCAGGAGATGGAGGTTGCAGTAAGCCAAGATCATGCCACTGCACTCCAGCCTGGGCAACAGAGCGAGACTCTGTCTCAAAAAAAAGAAATTAGCTAGAGCTGATTTTTGTGGCGTACAATCAAAGGGATTTAGTGCATGCACTTTCTTCTGTTTCAATTTCCAACCACAGTATTAGGGATGGAAAGGTTCTAACTGACCTTCATCTGCAGGAAGCATGGGTGATAGCACATCCCTGGGGCCTCTCACAATGCTGGTTTCAGAGTAGTTGATTTTAGGGAAAGTTGAGGTAAATCAGCCAGAATGAGAGAACAAAGAGGGGGACTGTCTGTCCACAAAGGAACAGATGCCACTCATAATACTGCACACTAACACAGATCATGACAGACACCACTCTAAGTGAATTTTAGTACACTGGTACACCCATATCTCATGACGAACACCTGCTATTTCCAGTTTCACTCACCAAGAAAAATCTCATTTGTCCCTAGAAGTTATGCGTCAGGCTTCTGAGCTGAAAACAAAAGCAAATGAGGAGGTTTGTTGCTGCGACTTTCTGGATTAGGTAACTAAGAAGACAAAAGCTACCTGAGCCCTTTCTGCATTAGAGTTCCCTATCCACTTTGTCTCTCTCTCTCTCGCTCTCTCTCTCTCTCTCTTTCTTTTTTTACTCCACCTCCTACCCACTTTCTTCCTTCATTCTTTAATAACAAATATTTCAAGCCTCTTGAAGGCCATGAATTCTGCCTTTGATATCCAGGCACTAGTCCTTAAAGAACCTGAGATTTTATAACAGGAAAATGTACAACCCACAATTTAAAAAAAAAAAAGTTTTGCATAACAAAAATCCCAGGAAGTATGTGTTATTAACATCAAATACAGCACAGACAAGGACTCTTTTAAAAAGTCTACCAGACTTGATCCCATGTTTCTCCTACAAAAGCACATTTATATCAGGGGAAGAAGAGTATGAGCAGATAGGAAGTCTAGGTTTGGCAGAGAAAAGAAGACGTGAAAAACTAGCTGGAAGAATGAAGCGGCAATTTTTTTTTTGTTTTTAAGCTAGGGAAGATCTGGACAGTTTGGAGGCAGAAGGGAAAGAGTTGCTAGACAAGAAAAGGACAGGCAGAGCTGGCTTCATGAACATGTGGCTTGTGCAGTCACCCACCCCAGGATCCTGCATTTGGTGTGATGCTCTGCTCGTTCTGAAAGGTACAAACACGATGTGGTAGGCTCATTAATGACCCTCTTTTTAAAAATTTTTTTTATTTTTGAGATGGAGTCTCACTCTGTCGCCCAGGCTGGAGTGTAGTGGCACGATGTTGGCTCACTGCAACCTCTGCCTCCCGGGTTCAAGCAATTCTCCTGCTTCAGCCTCCCGAGTAGCTGGGATTACAGGCGCCTGGCCCCACATCTGGCTAATTTTTGTGGTTTTAGTAGAGACGGGGGCTTCACCATGTTGGCCAGGCTGGTCTGGAATTGTTGACCTCAGATGACCCACTTGCCTCAGTCTCCCAAAGTGCTGGGATTACATGCCTGGCATGACTCTCTATTTATAGATCCTCATCCCAATCTCTGGAACCTGTGAATATGTTATCCTGTAGGCTAAAGGGACTTTGCACGTGTGATTAAGTTAAGGATTTTGAGATAAGATTGTCTGGGTGAGCCCAGTGTAATCACAAGGGTCCTTATACAAGAAGGAAGAGTTCGGGTCACAAAGAGAAGGCATGTGACGAGGGAAGCAGAGAGAGTGAAGAAGATGTGACTATAATGTGAAGTCATGAGGCCATGAATGCAGGTGGCCTCTGGAAGCTTGACAGGGTAAGGAACCACATTGTCCCCTAGAACCTCCAAAAGGAACACAGCCCTACAGGTCCATTTTTGGACTTCTGATCTCCAGAACTATAAGATAATGAATTTCTTCTGTTGTAAGCAACTAAATTTGTGATAATTTGTTACAGCATCCACGAGAAACTAATACATGCTACATAAACACAGGGGAATGTATTATTCGTTTTGTAGATATCAAAGACATTAATAAAACTAATAGCAGTTACCATTTATTCAGTACTTCCCACGGGGTAGGCACTAGACTCAGTTCTTTCTGTTTCTAATCCTATGTAGTCCTAGAACAAGATACAAGGTTGTAATTAAGGCCCGATAACTAACTAGAATGTTTCAGAGTTGGGATCTGAGCCCAGTCTGTGTCACTCTAAGTTTTTCTGTGAGTTTTACCCCATCCCCGTATTTCATCATACACCTTTGGGCTTGTCTTCACGCTTTAGCATGCATTATATACTTGCACGTGTCAACCTAGGAGTCGGGCTGGAGCGGGGCAGGAGCTGGCATCCCTATCTAGGGTGCCTGAAGTTAAAAAGGAGCCCAAGCCACCTCTACAAGTCACAGGCGGCTCACATAGGCACCCACGGTAGATGGGAGGCTACTGAAAACTGAGTGAGACAAAGAATACGCTTCAGACCGAAAGCCTAAGATCCTGCACGGTTCGCTCAGGGATCGACGCAAAGAGGTCCCGAGCCTCGTTCCCGGAGAAGAGGGCGCCTAGCTTTCCCCGCCCGCACCTCCCGCTGTTTTGGAGGCCCGCGTGGTCCCGCCTCATTGGCCGCAGTGGAGCCCGAGGCCCCGGGGAGGCGGGACGGCCTTCGCTGTTGTAGTTCCCGAGTTCGCCGGTTCACCGGCTCCGCCTTCCGACAGCGGCGCCCAGACAGCCGCCCGGGACCACAACTCCCACAAGGCCCCGCGCTCGGGGGCGTGGCCACGGGCCGAAGCGAGCTGGGGGCGGGGCCGCCTGGGGAATGAAGCTGGGGCGCTCGCCTCTCCTGCCTCACTTGCAGCTGCCGGGCGTCGGGGAGGGCGTCCTCTGCTTCCGCGCCGGCGTGCAGACCTCTGACCCTGGGGTCGCTTGGCCGCCGGGAACCGTCCCCTCGTGTCATTGCCCGGGCCGCCCGCTGTTCCCCGGCCCCGAGGGGCCCGGCTGGCCGCGGCGCGGGGAGAGGTCAGCATGAGCAAGGGGGTCCGCCGGGCAGGCGCCGGGCATGGGGCGGCGGCCGCGGTGCAGCTGCTGGTCACCCTGAGCTTCCTCCCGAGCGTCGTCGAGACCCAGGTAAGCCCGAGCCATGGCGGGCCGGGAACCCCCTGCCGAACGCCCGCGGCTCCTGCAAACGGGCCGCGGCTGTGGGGCGGGGAGAGCCGGGCCCGGCCCGAGGCGATTTCTGGGGAGCGGAAAACCCGGGAGTAGGGACCTGACCGTCCAGTGCGGGAGACATCTGCTAACCGCCCGCGGGCTGGGGGGATGGCGACACTCCGGGTCAGGGCAGTCAAAGAGGAAGATGGTGACGGCCCCCTGAGCTGTTTGGGCTTTTTTCTCTTGGACGTTTTAAGCGTCTGGGAGTGTGGCGGGAGATGGGACGGGCACGAACGCCTCGGCTGTCTTGCGAAGGGGGTGCCCAGAGAAACGGTGACGTCCTTCCCTTCAGGAGTCAGCGAGGGAGGGAGACTGAGAGCAGGGGGCACTCTCCGCAGACCCCCGAGGCCCCGCCAGGCGCGGGAGATGGAGAGGGGACAAGATTTCACTCACTTGAACTTTGGGACTACAGCCTTCTGGGCTTTTACCCTTGCTCGAGATTGCTTTATTTTTACCCAGCTGAGCTGTGTCTGCCAAGTGGCATCGCCAGGTAAGTCCCAGAGACTGGGGGGTCCGAGTCTGGCCTGGTGGCTCGTGGATGGAGGCTCTGGCTCTGCAGGCGGGAGGTGCCGGCTGGTTGTTGATGTGAGGCGATGATTACAGAAGTGTTCTCAGTGTGCTGGAAATCTGAGGGTGAGCAGACCAGGTCAGTTCTTCTTCAGAGAGGTGTTTGCGTCTGTTTGTTCAGTAGAATTTGAATTGATTGCCAGGTGCTGTTGCCTGTTTTCTGCACCTGCTGCAAAGTAGCAGCACTGCTAAGAGCTAAAAAACAAAAACAAACAAAAAAAAAAAACCAAAGTCTCAGGTGGCCTGATAATGAGGGGAGATGTCATTTGAGGCAATTAATGCTTATCTAAGAAAAAACTGAAGGTGATTATGAGTGTAACTGCGAAAACATGTTTTTCTGAATTGAGAGACTTTTTTTCTTGGTTTTATGGTGCCCTGCACTAAATCCCAGAGTGCCCAAGTAGTCCATTTGTGTCTGTGTTTGAACCATAAAAATAAAAGGGGCAAACTTTTGGTATTGGGGAACATGTTAAACTGCACATTCTCTGGCCCTGCTTCCAGATGTACCGATTGAAAGGATCTGGAATGTGTCCCCGACATCAGCATTTTGTTTATTTAATTAATTTATTTTTGAGATGGAGTCTCGCTCTTGTTTCCCAGGCTGGAGTGCAATGGCGCAATCTTGGCTCACTGCAACCTCTGCCTGCTGGGTTCAAGCGATTCTCCTACCTCAGCCTCCGTAGTAGCTGGGATTACGGGCATGCGCCACCATGCCCGGCTAATTTTTGTATTTTTAGTAGAGACAGGGTTTCACCATGTTGGCCAGACTAGTCTCGAACTCCTGACCTCAGGTGATTCACTTGCCTCAGCCTCCCAAAGTGCTGAAATTACAGACGTGAGCCACCTGCGCCCGGCCTGATATCAGCGTTTTAAACGTTGCGAGTACAGTAACGGTAGCAAAGTTATCTTTTGACTGCCTCTTGGACCTCACTTGGAAAACTCTGAAATAGAATAGATAGTGGTAATTTGGGCAGATTTACAAAAAGTAAATTTTCCAAATTGTCTTTGGCAAATTATTTTCTACTCATTAGTTGTGTTTTTGAGTGAAACTTACAATTAGATATTTTTCTAAAATGAGATTTCTCATTTTCTCTTTATGTAGCATATGTTACTTTATGCTTACCTGTCTAGAAACTTCATTTTAGATTTTTTTTCATTTACCACTAATCATGTGTAATCAATGTTTTGTAATTTCACCTGTATTTTTAAAATTTTTGTGTAGAGATGGGGATTTACTATATTGTTAGGCTGATCTTCAACTCCTGGACTCCAGCTAGCCTCTTTCTTTGGCTTCCCAGAGTGCTGGAATTACAGGTGGAAGCCACTGTTAATGGCCTGCACCTGTACTTTTAATTTCATTCTATCCAAATGAGTATATAGTTCAGCTGTTAAAGATGTGTGACTATTTAAAGTAGCATTGTGCCAAACAGTCTTCAAAGTGAATATGTTTGGTTTTCGTTGCCAGCAGTACTTTTTTTTTTTTTTTTTTTTGAAACGCAGTCTCGCTCTGTTGCCCAGGCTGGAGAACAATGGCACGTCTCTTGGCTCACTGCAACCTCCACCTTGAGGGTTCAAGCAGTTCTCCCTGCCTCAGCCTCCTGAGTAGCTGGCATTACAGTTGCTTGCCACCATGTGCCCAGCTAATTTTTTTTTTTTTTTTTTTTCAGTAGAGACGGGGTTTTGCTATGTAGCTGCCTTGGCCTCCCAAAGTGTTGGGATTATAGGCGTGAGCCATGGCCCCTGGCCGCCAGCAGTACTTTTCACTGTAGTGGTTGATCTTTTTTTTGTTTTGTTTTGTTTTTTTCTTTTGAGATGGAATCTTGCTGTGTTTCGACCAGACTGGAGTGCAGTGGTGCAGTCTCGGCTCACTGCAGACTCTGCCTCCCAGGTTCAAGTGATTCTCCTGTCTCAGCCTCCCGAGTAGCTGGAAGTACAGGTGCCCACCACTATGCCTGGCTAATTTTATAGCTTTTAGTAGAGATGCGTTTCCTCATGTTGGCCAGGCTGGTCTCGAACTCCTGACCTCAAGTGATCCACCTGCCTCGGCCTCCCAAAGTGCTGGGATTACAGGTGTGAGCCACCACGCCCGGTCTGATGATCTTTTCAATAGTACTTTAGTCTGTAACATGGTTACATGTATATTATCTCATTTTATTTGATGCATCTCTCAGAAGTGAGATCATTGAGGTAATTGAAGTTCAAAGAACTTAAATGGCTTAAATGAATAAGTGACGTTAAAGTGGAGCCCTAATGTGGAACCCCTTCTCGTCTATATAGTATGTTGGTATCTTCAGTTCTCTGTAGTATAGAAAAGCAGAAGGAAAACAGGAAAATCAAATAGTGGAATTCAGTCAGTTCTTTGACTTCATCTGTATGGTGGAAAATTGATAGAGGGAAGAAATTTTTGAAAACTACCTCTGTTCACAAGAAATCAAAGTCATTTAAGGAGATGCATATTTTCAATGTATCTCCTTCCAAAATAAAAGCAAAAAAAAAATTTTTTGGAGCACATAAAATGATATGTATTTGTTTATATACATGCCCCATTTTCTTATAAATGGAATGTAAATACACTATGCAGTGTGGTTAAGCACTGGAAACTAAAGGCATAGTGCATGCAAGTGATGTAACAATATATATATGTTTTTCTAAATGCATTTCTGAGGTGGCATGAAATCAAGGAATACACAGAGCCCCTCAACAAATGAAAAACCAGAAACTTGGAACTCAAATAGTGCTGTACCAGTCCATTACTCTCAGGGCTTCTCCTAAACCCTAAAGATCTTAAGCTACTTTAACAGTTGCCTGGAGTGGAGTGGGCAAGAAATAACCCCATGTCTGCTCAGTGAGAGGAAACTAACAGGAGGCTCCATCATAATTCATTTCTCATTCACCCTTATATTGAGGATCTAGCTGTTTAGAGCCTGGACTTCAAACAGCTACCTCCTCAATATAAGGGTAAATGAGAGACGAAACCCATTTTAAGTAAGGGGAATGTAAAGAAGCTTGCTAGGATTAGGGGAAGAAACTTTGAGAATTTGTAACCATGAGCCAGCCCTCACACAGGTTTGCAAGCCAAATATTTATGCGGGTAAAATTTATAGCAGTCCCAGATTTGTATGTCCCAGGTTACCAATAAAAGCAAATATCCATCCCCTCTTGAGGAATTTATTTCCAACTCAGACCTTGAAAAATCTTTGAAGATAAAGTGCCAAGAAGAATAAGTAGCAGTAAAATACCACAAAACACACAAACAGGGCATCATGAATCAGATATTAGACACAGACAACAGAAACAACAAATAATGACCTTAGGTTCTGAAATTATCAGATAGATAATTTAATATCACTATGTTTAATGTGTTCAAATTAAAGAGAAACTTGAAGTATAAAAGAAAAGATTTTAAAGAATGGCTAAAAAGGTTTAAAAAATAAGTAGTTCTAGAGCTGAAATTAAAAACTCAATGGATGAATTAAAAAGCTGATCATATCCAGCTGGAGAAATGATTATTGAATTAGACAATCATTTCATGTCTTTTTTTCTTTCTCAGTCACCCATTATCTCCTCATCAGTCCTTACTCTCAGCTTCAAACCTTACTAAAGTTGGAGAAATCAGAAGAGAAATTCCATAGGGTAATCCATATCTATCTATTTACTAGTCTTTGTACTTCCTATTGGTTATATTTTGAATTCTTATTGGTTACCATTGATGAACTGTGTGCTTTTTATCAAAAGACAGCCCCTCTATTTGCATATTAGGTCTCATTCCTTCTTTCCCACTCATGGACATGGCTCCAGCAGTCTTCTCTTTCTTTCCTGGATTGTCTGTTTTTCCTTCTCAAATGGAATATTACTGTCACCATGTATTAGTCCATTCATTTTTGGTTTTTGGAGCAGAGTCTTGCTCTGTTGTCCAGGCTGTAGAGCAGTGGCTTGATCTCGGCTCACTGCAACCTCTGCCTCCCAGGTTCAAGCATTTCTTATGCCACAGCCTCCCAAGTAGCTCAGATTACAGGTGCCCACCACAACGCCCAGCTAATTTTCATGTTTTTAGTAGAGGAGAGGTTTTGCCATGTTGGCCAGGCTAATCTCAAATTTGTGACTTCAAGTGATCCACCTGCTTCGGCCTCCCACAGTGCTGTGTGATTACAGGTGTGAGCCACTGTGCTGGGTTAGTCCATTCTTGTATTGCTGTAAAGAACTCCTTGAGACTGGGTAATTTTTAAAGAAAAGAGGTTTAATTGACTCACAGTTCCATGGGCTGTACAGGAAGCATGGCTGAGGAGGCCTCAGGAAACTTAAAATCAGTGGGAAATGGTGCATACTTTCAAACAACCAGATCTCATGAGGAC